CAATCCCGCTCTTTCTCTTTCTCCCTGGGCCTCAGATCTTATGGGCATAAACGCTTCAGACGCTCCCCACACTGGCTTTCAGGGCTCCTTCAATCTTCGTCTTCCCTCACAAGACCACTCCACCACCACAGGGAAGCGGGGGCCATACTCGGTCTTTGCCCTCTCTCACAGGGCCACACCACAACAGTGGGGGGGGGAGGGGAGGAGAGGGGAGGGGGCTCCTTCGGCCCACAAGGCTACGTCGGTCTCTGTCCTCTTTCACAGGGCTGCTCCACCGCCGCAAAACAGTAGGGAGGAGGGGGCTCCCCCGGTCTTCGCCCTCTCTCACAGGGCCACGCCACACATCAGAGGGGGGGGTCTCCTTTGGACGACACCCTCTCTCACAGGGCCGCTCCACCAGTCTTTGCCCTCTCTCACAGGGCCTCTCCACCAAACCTCTCTCACAGGGCCACTCCCCCACCGCAGGACTGTGGGCCTTACTTCGTCTCTCGAGGGCTCTGTTGATCTTCTTACCCTGTCCACTTTCCCCCGACTGCGTATCAACCGGCGGTGATTCCTCATCGGCCAACGGCCAGCCAGGGAGCCTCAGGGCAGGGGGGAGACCGTTCAGGAAAATTCCGCTCTCCTCGCTCCCTCTCCAGCAGCTCACCACTGCCGACGCCGCCAGTCGCCTCGCCAACCGCGCCACGCCCCCGATCGTCTCAAGGCGTCTCCCTCCGCTGCCCCAGGCCCGGGCCGCCCCGGAGCTCAGCCACCGCCTCCGCCGACCTCTCCTCCGCGTCAGCCCGAGGCCTCGTTGTTCAGGACTCAACCTGGCAGGCCACAACTCCTGCCGCCACCTCCAGGACGCCGCCGCCAGCTGCCGCCTCCGGGCACCGCTGTCGACCGCGTTCCTGCACCAGCCAAGGGCCTGACGCACGGAAGCCACGCTCAGCGAGCTCCGCTAGCTCAGCGAGCTCCGCAAGCTGACCTAGGGGGCCCCCGCAGCCAAACTCCACACTGGTAAGGGAGATATTACAGCTTCCCCCTCGTAAGGGAGATATTGCAGCTTTCCCCTCGTGCCACGGGTCCAGTTCAACAGTGTTATTATACACATCAATTCGGCCAGCTGAGGAACGTCCAACGCTGTTTCTCGGCACATTTCTAAATTTCTCCGGCGAGCGTGTAAGCACGAACACACCGCCATGCCGCCATCTTGTAGCCGCCACCACCTCCTGTGGCAGTGAATTCCAAGTGTTAATCACTCTTTGGGTCAAAAAGATCAAGGTGGGGTAGCCGTGTTGGTCGGAAGCAGTAGAACAAAGTTAGAGTTTAATGGCACCTTTAAGACCAACAAAGTTTTATTCAAGGTGTGAGCTTTCGTGTGCACGCACACTTTGTCAGACAATGAAATGGGATTACATATCATCAGGGATCATTTGGAGCCAGAACGAGCCGGCAGCTCAGGAGCAGGCACATATGGCGGCGGAGGCAAGCCCCGCCCCCAGCTCCTAGAGGGCTGGCAGAGGAAGCAAAGAGAGAAGGGTTTTAAAGTTTAAACCACTTCTCTCTGGAGTCGCGCCACAGTGGCGGCACGATCACTCCATTGTACCCTATGGTGCCATAGGATACAATGGGAGATCGTGCCACCGTAGCGGCACAACTCTAGAGAGAAGGGGTTTAAACTTTAAACCCCTTCTCTGTTCACTTCCCCCGCCAGCCTGCCTTGGCAGGCCAGCCAGGGAAGGGAAGGGGAGGCTTTTGAAGATGCCTCCCCCCCCTTTTGCTTCCCCAACCGGCTTGCCAAGGCACACTGGCTGGGGAAGCAAAAGGGGGGGGGCATCTTTAAAAGCCTCCCCTTCCCTTCCCCAGCCGGCCTTCCAAGGGTTGATTAGAATTCCATATGTGTCTTTCTTGAAAGGACAGTGGCTAAGAAGTGTGTCAGTGATGTCCTCTCTCTAGCACTTGGTTACATAACTTACTGCTGGTGGCGGCCTGGATTTGGTTTTCCTTCTTGAATGGATTTGCCCCTTCCTCAATTTTTATGTGCTTCTCACAGGCCAAGTTAAAATTAGAGAAGCAGGTGACCCAGTCAGCCTTTCAGCAGATGCACAAGTATCTTGAGCAACAAGAGCAGCTCAGGCTGTCCCAGCTGGAGACGATGGAGGGAGAGATGGAGAAGAGGGACAAAGAAAACCACACCAGATTTTCTGAGGAAATCTCAGATCTCAGTCACCTAATCACAGAGCTGGAGGGAATGTTTCGGCAGACCGAAAACGTATTTGTGCAGGTAAGAAATCAAAATCCTCACAACGGCAGAAGGCAGCTACAAGCTCAGAACGGAAATAGAGCCTGATCCTGGGAACATCAGTTGATTCTCCTAGAAAGGGGGGAAGGAATGATGGATTCCATGTAGAATATCAAGAATCCCTTTGAGTTTTCTGTGTAACTGAGATCCATTTCTCTCCCTCTCTTTCAGGATCCCAAAACTATACTGAGCAGCAGGTATGTGACTCTTTTTCAACCCCTCTTGCTGTTTCATCTGCTGTGGAAGAGCATTAGGCATGTGTTTTTTGGTCACACTTCTACGGGGTCCCAGAGTCTGTGCAAGGTCAGCCCTTCCTTTCAATAAAGTCCCTTTCAGCCCTGAGGGGGAAAATAGTCCAGAGGAGGGTTCCCTCCACACAAGACTGAAATTCACTGGAAGAGCTCCAGCCTTGAAATAAGTCATCTTTTTTGTGAGTGGACTTGACCTATTGAGGCTTCACTCTTTTCTCCTCCAGACATGAGAAGAAGCCCGAAAGGCAGCTGATGGAGCTTCCTCCAATACTGGAGCATAACCTCAGGATTTACTCAGAGCAAACACCTGAATTACAAAAGGCTCTCAAAGAATGTGAAGGTATTGACGGACATCCCCTGGGTGTCCCCAAATGATCTTCTCCTAGGCTACTTAACAGAGATGGGCACTTTTAACAAATACTTTACCTTTCCCCCCAGAAAGTAAATCAAGTGTCTGCTGTCAACGTTGGCTGTAAAGTGTACAGCGGAGGCATTCAGACCTTTGGGCCCCATCGAGAAATGTGCTGGGATTGGCACAGCAGTGGGGGAAACAGAAGCTTCACACAGGGGAAATCTGGGTGCTGTCACTCAAGCTCAGGTGGCACCACAGTGAGGGATACCAGGCCCCAGATTTGGGGGGGACGGGGCTCCAGGACCAGTGGGGCCTTGGTTTGGTCACTTCTGTTTTATATTACCACAAGAGGGGAAAGAGACAAGGAGAGCAGTAACAGGTAGTGATGCGTCTGCAAGCACACATGACAGGGATAAAGGATGCATTTTGGCACCAGATCTCATGAGACAACTTCATGGGATCCTGGGTGCTGTTTTGTGCTGCGATAGTGCTGAGGTCCCCCCACTTTGAGTAGACGGTTGACACACAACTAACGTATATGTTTTGTGATGATCTTGGCTTCTGATCTTGAATTGTAATAAACTGTTGACTGATTGCTTGTGTGGAAGCTGTTACTACCATTTCCAAAGCATCAGGAGACCAACTGGGCACTCAATACTTTGTGAAGGGCACTAAGTCCTTCTACACGTTCCAAAAGGCAGGGGCCATGGTGGTGTTTGGTGTTGCCTTCACTACCCAAAATGGCGCACAAGTGAGACTTGGACTGGTGCCTGAAAAGATATGTAGCCTTCACTACCCAAAATGGCGCACAAGTGAGAGTGGGTTTGGACTGGTGCCTGAAAAGATATGTAGCTACATGAATGATCATCTAAGTAATTTTGCTCCCCCCCCCCAGTTCTCAACATATTTTATGTTTTCTTCCCATAACAGAGTCTCTGGACAAAGTACTGGTGAAAGCACTGACAAAAGGTAACCATCTGCTAAAATTAAGTAGGTGTCAGCTTCTCATAAGAGATTTAGATTTAACTGACATTCACTCATGTTGCATTAGACAGAGGCCTCAGCTTACGGGGAGGGACGGTGCTTCCCAAGACTTTTAACAGTAACTACGCTATCCGAGGAAGAGGGAATGGGGAGGATACTGGGAAGCTGGCAGGTAGATGAGAGCTGGTGTAGTGGCTGAAGGTCAAATTACAGATTTCCTTGGGAGGGGGTTAAATGTAAAAGGCAGCCATGAGGGGTGGATTGGTTAACACTGGGGCGATGGTAGTGGTGGGGTAAACCCCCACCCAGCATCCTGTTTTCCCAACCCAGCCAGCTCCTCCAAGATGTACGGTCCCTCTGTACTTGATTCACGGGGCCCAGTAGCCGGGGAGGGGGGGGGAGTTGTTTACCTTGGGAACATCTCATTGGCGGTAACAGCTACGTATGTCTGTGATACAGCCCCAGTCTGTATCACAGGCTGTTGTCCTTCAAAAAAGGGACTGTTGTCCTTCAAAAGCAGTAGCTGTGGCGGAGGTGCTTTGGGATCCCAGCGTTGCGTCTACTTTAATTCTGAGAGTGTGGGATGTGTCGTGAATTCTCTGGCTCCGCTAGGTCTTTGGTTCACTGGGTGGTTCTAGGCAAGCCATTCTATCATACAGGCCTGAAGGGAGGATTCCTGACATAACATCTGAAATGTTCAGAACTCGCTAAAGCACCGTGAAAATGTTTGATGGTTCTGCTCACGGGCCAATCTTTGGGTGTGAAGTTGGAGGACTATAAGTGCCTCTTTTCCGTATTAGAGATGTATGCTGTGAAATACCCCATACACTGCCCTTGTGCCTCCATCTTGAATCCCACGCTAACCCCCTTGGACCTTCCCGAAAGGAGGCTTTCTGACTTGGTCTTTAGTAGCTGACAATGACCCCTTTCCCTGATGGTTTCTCGGGGTAGCTGTGTTGATCTGCAGTAGAACAGTTAAGATTTGAGTCCAGTAACACTTTAGAGATGACA